CCGTGCAGCCGCAGTATGGGGCGTGGCTGAGCCTGGTGGACCGGGCCCAAGTGAAGGCCTTTGTGGACCTCACGCTCTCCCCCTCTGTGCGCCAGGGAGCTCAGCATCTGCTGCGCATCTCAGGCCTTGGTGAGCTCCTTTGTCCATTTCCTCCAGCCCCTGACCCGGCCCCCTGCAGTCTCCGCTCCCCTCTCCCAGGGAGTGAATCACAAATTACAGACTCCAAGGAACTGAGAAGCTAGTGCAGATAAGACCAAGTGGCCACAGATAACCACCACATAGTGGGTGGTGGGTGATAAGGTCTAGGAAATGCTGAGGTTTAGAGATGGGGTGACACTGTATTTTTCCTGGTCCCAAAATTGGGGCACAGGCTCTGACCAGTCTGTTGTGTTTCTGGAACAGGAGAGTAAGTATTCGAGTCTGGGGCTGCCCATCAAATCTAGGGCAGATTTCTGAAGCCCCAGAGTTCAGAGAAAGGCAGCCTCCTCAGCACTGATGTGACCAGGAAGGGTTTTGAGAAGAGATGGTATCTCAGCCAGGCCTTGTATGGCGTAGGGCCCAGAGCCCACAGACCACAAAGGATGCTGGGGGTGCAGGGAAGGGTTCCAGCTTTGTGGAGGTGTCTCAGTGCTGAGGCTTCTGCCTTGGGCCACACGTTCTTCCAAATTCGTGCTCAGTGTCTGTGGCCTCCTCCATTTACCCGTTGCCGTAGTGCCTAAGGCATTTGACTACTCACCAGAAGGTTGGCGGTTCAAAACCACCAGCCACTTTGTGGAAGGAAGACTGGGCAATCTACTTCCATAAAGATTTGCCCCCTTGGAAACCCAATGGGGATCTCTGAATTGGAATCGACTCGAAGGTAGTGAGTTTGCTTATAGTTTTGTGGAGTCAACCTGACTCACAGCACTCCTAGAAGACAGAGTAGAACTGCCTCATAAGGTTTCCAAGGCTGTCAGTCTTCATAGAAGCAGACTGCCTCATCTTTTTCCCAGAGCACCTAGTGGGTTCCAACCACTGATCCAACTACCGACCTTTTCGCAGCCGAATGTCTTAATTGTGGCGCCACCAGAGCTCCTTCTTCTCTGTTTGGGATCTGATTGATACTCAGCAGCGTTGGACTTTGCAAATCAGAAAAGCTCAGGAGGGGGTGTCATTGCTTTCTGTTGCGATGTGGGGGAGTCTATACCCCTTGAGGTGTTTCTGATCATTATTAAGCATTGTTAGATACCCCCAGGCGCATCTGAGGGCCTGGTCTTTCCTCCGCCCCACCCTTTGTGGGAAGCCTGTGCAAAGAGGCCACTAGAAACTTCCCTGATTCAAGTGAAAGGGGAAGTATTTCTTCTAAGTAGTGCATTCTCCCCATGTGTGGAATTTGATTTACTGGTAGGTTTTGGGGGCTCTGGTGGTATAGTGCCTAAGGCATTTGACTGCTAACCAGAAGGCTGGTGGTTCAAACCCACCAGCCACTTCTTGGAAGGAAGACGGGGCAATCTACTTCTATGGAGATACTGCCTCTGAAACCCGAGGAGGGGTCGCTATGAGTCGGATTCGACTCGACGACAGTGAGTTTGGTTTTGGTTTGGTAGCGTTTGAAGGACCTCTTGTAGCAAGGTGCCGAAGGTATCTGACTGCTAACCAGGAGGTTGGTGGTTTAAACCCACCAGCCACTCTGCAGAAGCAAGACTGGGCAATCTACTTTTGTGAAGATTTACCACCTTGGGAACCCAATGGGGGTCACTACGAGTTAGAGTCAACTGGATGGCAGTGGGTTCAGTTTTTGGTTTGGTAGTTTTTTTGAGCCCGTTTGTTTCATGAGGAGTCATCTTAGAAATGGTCTGTGAAAAGGGCACGGAGGTGGTATCTTCTGACCTCTTCCAATCTCATCAGAGGGAAACAGAATCCCCATCAGCAGCCCAAGACTTACTCTGTGAGGCCAAACATGCCGTCACCCTCCAGCCTTTTACCAATTCTGGTACCAACCGTCCCTCCCACGGCACTTACTACTTCTCTGCTGGGTTCGATAATACATTGCAATGGCCACACAAAACTCACAGACAGTACTCACAATTGTGGGATTTATTAGGGAAGTAACAGCCTACAATTCAGGTTCAGGAATGAGCTCAGGATACAATTTTGTGATCAGGACAGTCTCCCCTCTGCTATGCCCTCAGGCACGCCTCTGTCCGCTCCCAAGTCCTTTTAGCAAGTCTCAGTCTTCCTGTAAATGCAGCTCTGTGAGGGGTAGAGATAATCCCACCGACAAGTACAGGAAGTCCCTCGGAGCAGTCCCTGCTTAGGATCTGACTTATGTACAACCCAGTTAGGAACCAACCCCATAAAGCCAGTTATATTAAAAACTCCAGTTACATAGAGCAATTCCTAAAAAACAAATGAGGTGCTACTTTGCAATGCACGTCAAAGCATTGTTATTATCACTGTATTATGTTATAGTCTTTTTAGTATCTGGAAGTGTTTCTTTTTTTATTCACAGAAGGGTACACTGTATACATATATTAAGATAAACACATGACTGACTGACATTAGATACAAATGGTAACTAACCGTCCTGACATACATACAAATTTGCCATAAAGGACAGATCTAGGAACGGGACTGCCCATATCATGAGGAGCTGTTGGCAGGGACGCTGCATGTTGTGGTTCACACGCGTGCACACCAGCTTGGTGCTGGGCTGCTGTGTTCATGTGCTGGCCCCTGGACCTCCTTGCAGGCAGACTTTGGGCAAGTTACTTCCCTGCTCTGTGCTCTGTGCCTCAGGTTCCTTATGTGTGAAACCGGAGAATAAGCCAGAGCTTGTGTCAAGGATAAAATGCATTAAAACGTGGAGTGCTTTCTATAGGACCTGGCCCCTGGAAAGTTCCTCAGGGGTGATGCCCCGCTCTTTGCAGGAGCACAGACCAGCCTTGTCTCACATCACAGCAGGGCCTGGACACTTTCCCTGGCGATGGAGGCCATGGGCTTAAGTAACCAGGATGTCAAGCTCTCCCATTGTGAGGAAGGTGTGGCTGCTGCTTAAATAGGTGCAGTGAATCACACCTTACTGTCTGTGGGCCACAGTGCTCACTTGTTAAGAGAATCCTGTAAGGTGAACTTTGACTATTTAAATGGAGATCAGTGAAGAGGTTAGTCACATAAATTCGTGTGAAAGTGTTCAGGGAAAATGAAAAGTCGTTATGCAAGCGTACGTAATATTGCCATTAGAACCCACACAGGGTGCATCTGTAATACCTTGTAGCTGACACATCAGCTGTCAGTGTGTGTGAGTGGGCTCCCATTAGGTGGTAGCAGTTCAGCCCCAGTCTGATCTGTCTGTTCCCTCCTGCCTCCCCCTCTGTGTCCCCAGGTGGCATGAAGCCCAACACGTTGGTCCTGGGTTTCTATGATGATGCTCCACCCCAGGACCATTTCCTGACCGACCCGGCTTTCTCGGAACCTGCTGATGGCACCAGGGAGGGGGGGGGCCCGGCCCTGAGCACCTTGTTCCCTCCACCCCGGGCTCCTGGTAGCCCCCGGGCGCTCAGTCCCCAGGACTATGTGGCCACCATGGCGGATGCCCTCAAGATGAACAAGAATGTGGTTCTAGCTCGAGCCTGTGGAGCCCTGCCCCCTGAACGGCTGACCCGGGGGTTTGGGGGCACGTCTCAGCCACACCATGTGGACGTGTGGCCCCTCAACTTGCTGCGCCCCCAGGGTGGGCCCGGCTATGTGGACGTCTGTGGCCTCTTCCTGCTGCAGATGGCGACCATCTTGGGCATGGTGCCCGCTTGGCACAGTGCCCGGCTGCGAATCTTCCTGTGCTCGGGGCCTCAGGAGGCCCCCGGGGCGGCCGAGGGGCGGCTCCGGGCACTGCTGAGCCAGTTAAGGATCCGGGCTGAGGTGCAGGAGGTAGTGTGGGGTGAGGGGGCTGGGACCAGGGAGCTGGAGGAGGAGGGAGACTTCCAGAACGGTGGGCGGGGAGATGCTGAGGCAGAGGCCCTGGCATGCAGCGCCAACGCCCTGGTCCGGGCCCAGCAGGGGCGCAGCAGAGGGGGAGGGCCCGGTGGGCCAGAAGGTGGGGATGAGGAGGGGGGCCCTGCCACTGCCCTGACCTTCCTCTACCTGCCTCGGCCGCCGGCCGATCCTGCCCGCTACCCCCGCTACCTGGCCCAGCTGGAGATCCTGAGCCGGGACCTGGGTCCCACCTTGCTCATCCATGGTGTCACCCCTGTCACTTGCACTGATCTCTGATGCCTAGCCCAGCCCATTCCTCGTGGTGGGTAGAGAGGGTCCACCCAGGCCTGGCGACCCTTCTTAATTATTGTGTGTGGAGGAGGGGAAGAACCTCGTCCCGCCCACCATCTCGTGCCATCCACGCTCTTGGGAGTGGAGCCCCATAGAACTGTCGAGGGGTTCTGGGCCCTGGCACCTCCTCTGTTGTGAATGGGCCTCTATACTCGAATGCAGCGAGGCTGTGCACTGAAGTCCCCACTTTTGGGGGGGTGCGGTCAGAAGCCCCCCTCCCCCTCCACTGGTGCCTTGATGGGAGGGGCTGGCTCTCCTCTTCCGACTCTAGGCTACCTCAGTTGGCCCCCTCGTCGATGATAGGCTCACCGACCCTGAGGTTGTGATGTGTTTGTTCTGTTTTATTTTTCTAACTCCGCTGTATGGTGAATAAAATTCCAAAACACTACTGACTGGCTGAGCACTGCCGGGCTGGGCAGGTGAAAGGGGGGAGGGTCGGCAAGGGGGCCAGGAACCCTTGGGGAGGGCAAAGTCCTTATCAGCACGTGGAAAAGGGAGGCGTGCTGGAGCTGGCCCTGCAGGGAGGTTGCCATGGTTAGGACTTGGGGTCGCGGGGCTTGGGGATTTGGGTTAGCTGGAGGCCTCAGCGCCGGCTCTGGGACATCACTCCCCGCCTCACAGGAGGGGCCAACTCTGGGAGGGACGGTGGTTTAGGGATAGGGGCCCACGTGACCCTCCCCCAGGAATGCAGTGACATCATCGGGGGCGTGGCCGTCCCCAAAATTGGAAAGGAAGGGAGGAAAAAAAAAAAGCAAGAAAAAGTTTCTTTCCTGGAGTTCCAAAGGAGGTGTGGGACCGAGGAGCAGGTCAAGGCCGGAGATCCGGGGCTCTGAGGGGTCCCCTGTTCCAGGCCATGTCGGGGCCCACCTGGCTTCCCCCGAAGCAGCTCGAGCCCTCCAGAGCCCCTCAGGGGAGAGCGTTTCCCCGAGGTCCCCCGGGGCCGCCAGCGGCCCATGGAGCAGGTAAGGCAGCCCCAGTGTGGGGTGGCTGGAGGGGCGGCCGACTGGCCAGTGCTCACCTCTTCCCTCCACTCGCCCCCTCTCCAAGCGTGCTGGGACCTCCCACCGCCCTCTTTCTCTGACCCCAAGAGGGGAGAGGAGGGACCCTCTTGGGACCCCTCGTCGTCTTCCCCACCCCCACCTCTGGTCTCTCTTCCCCCTCACCCCAGCACTCCAGCCCCACCCCAGAGTCAATTTTTGCCCCCTCCCATCTGAGCAGTGTTACCAGGCCTCAGGGGGACCGGAGGACCGGGGGCCAGCCTGGGGTGGGTCTCAGGGAGCACCCCAGCGCCCTCAGGTGAGTACTGGGAGTCAGGGGTAGGGCCCCCCCAAGAACCGAGTGTGAACTCGCGGGGTGGGGGGGAGACATTGTGATCTGCACTCTCTTTGCTTTTGCTCCGTCTCTAGGGACTCCCCCCAGATAGAGGGGGCTTGTGCCCAGGAGGTCTGGATGCAGAAATAGATTCACTGACCAGCATGCTGGCCGAGATGGATGGGGGTCGCAGTCACGTGCAACGCCGACCAGACCGACAGGTGACTCCCCCTCCCCCTCCCCTTCCTTACTGGCCCCTGCTCCCCCCACCCCTGCCTGCTCAGTCCAAATCCAGCCCCCACCTCCATCCTACTCCTAGCTGAGAGCTGAACCCCAGCGTGAAGTAACCCAGGTAGTCAGCCACTGAGGACGAGACCTCAGCCAACAGTTGCCCATCTCGGGGCCACACGTGGGGTTTCCACAGATGCGTGACCTGGAATGGGCCATGCTTACCTCTTGTGCTCCATTTCTTCGCAGGCATATGAGCCCCTCCAGCCCCCTGCCTACCGCACGGGCTCCCTGAAGCCGAACGGAGGGGGTGCACCACCGCTGCAGCTGCCAGCAGCCCCCTATGGGGGCCCCACCCCGGCCTCCTATGCTACCGCCAGCACCCCCGCTGGCCCTGCCTTCCCTGTGCAGGTGAAGGTCGCACAGCCAGTGAGAGGCTGCGGCCCGCCCAGGCGAGGGGCCTCACAGGCTTCCAGGCCCCTCCTGGGCCCCCACTTGCCTCTCCCCGGCCGAGGTGAAGTCTGGGGGGCTGGCTATAGGAGCCACCGGGAGCCAGGGCCGGAGGGTAAAGAGGAGGCTGCCGGAGTCCCTGGCCCTGCAGGAGGAGGAAGAGGAGGCAAGTACGGACCCCAGGTAAGTCTGCGGTCCTGGGATTTTGGGTCTTCACAGGCAACTGGGTGCTGATTGGGTGGAGTGAGGGTGGTGTATAACGTCCTGGTTTTAGAGCGGAGTCACAGATGTGGGATGTCAGAGCGTTGGATCCCAAGGGGTGAGGGGAAGGCCAGGAAACAGAAGAGAGGGGGCTTGAGTTTCACTCTGGCTCCTTGAGGCTCTGTCCTTGGCCCTGGGCTGGTAGACTTTCAGATGGGCTTTCTGGGTTGAACTGCCTGTCATGTCACACTCAGGAAATTGTGCAGTGCCGGGAGCCAGAGGTAGGACCAAACCCCTGCTTCCCATTTCCCAGGTCCCCCTGAGCCAACCTCCCGAGGAGGAACTTGAGAGGCTGACCAAGAAGCTGGTCCATGACATGAACCACCCCCCCAGCGGGGAGTACTTTGGTGAGCTGCCTGTGTTGGTGTGGGGGGGGAGGGGGAGGTGGTGCTGGAGGTGATGCTGGCGAGATCTGGCTTTGGGGTCTGTGTAGACTGACTTTGTCCCCACTAACCACAGGCAGGTGTGGGGGCTGCGGAGAAGACGTGGTCGGGGACGGGGCCGGGGTGGTGGCCTTGGACCGAGTCTTCCACGTTGGCTGCTTCGTCTGTTCTACATGCCGGGCGCAGCTTCGAGGCCAGCATTTCTATGCTGTGGAGAGGAGGGCGTACTGTGAGAGCTGCTATGTGGTGAGTGGTTGGGCTGGGGGGCTGGGGGGTTGGGGTCAGCAGCAGGAGGTGGGGACTTCCATCCAAGGTGGGAACTAGATGGCCAACCCCAAAAGAGGAACGGGACTCAAAGCTGGGGGACCAGAGACTGCTGGAGGAGGACGACAGTGGTCCCCTTGTAAGTGTGAAGCATTTCAGAGTTAAGGGCATGGGTTAAATTCCTACATCAGCCCTGTGAGATGGACATTAAGTGCTGATTCCCTTTTTATGGAGATTGTCAAAACCACCAGCCAGTCTGTGGAAGGAAGATGGGGCAATCTACTTCCGTAAAGATTTACCGCCTCGGAAACCCAATGGGGGTCCACTATGAGTTGCAATCGACTCAGTGGCTGTGAGTTTGGTTTTGGTAGCTCAGAGAGTTTAAATAACTTGCCCAGTAAGCTACAGTGCTGGGACTTGAACTCAGATCCTCTCAGGTCCACCTTCCACTGAATCATCATATGCAGGCGGCAAGGTAAACAGATGAGTAGGCTGGGAGGCCCCCTTGACACTCTTGCACGCCTTCCCACCAGGCCACCCTGGAGAAATGTTCCATGTGCTCCCAGCCCATCCTGGACCGGATCCTACGGGCTATGGGGAAGGCCTACCACCCTGGCTGTTTCACCTGCGTGGTGTGCCACCGTGGCCTGGATGGTATCCCCTTCACAGTGGATGCCACCAGCCAGATTCACTGCATTGAGGACTTCCACAGGTCAGTCTGGCCCTTTCCATCTCCCTCACCTCTCCTTCCTGCCCCAGTATCCATTGTTCCTGTTTTCAACCCTGCCCCTGTCCTCTCTCTCTTACCCCTTTTTTCCCAGTATCTAAGACCATCCCATCCCTCTGACCTCTGCTGTTTCTTCCTGCATCCCACCTTCTCTGGGCTCTGTGATTAGTCTCCTCAACCCTGGTCTTGACAGCCTCACCGGTTCCCTTCCACCCCAGGAAGTTTGCTCCACGATGCTCGGTGTGTGGCGGGGCCATCATGCCTGAGCCAGGTCAGGAGGAGACGGTGCGAATTGTTGCCCTGGATCGAAGTTTTCATATTGGCTGTTACAAGTGTGAGGTCAGGGGGCCTGGCAAGAGGAAGGGGTCTGGAGCGCTGGGTATGGTAACCCAGGGGTTAAGAGCTGACGTAAAGTTGTCCCTTCTTTTCCAACAGGAGTGTGGGCTGCTGCTCTCCTCTGAGGGTGAGTGTCAAGGCTGCTACCCCCTGGATGGGCACATCTTGTGCAAGTCCTGCAGCGCCTGGCGCATCCAGGAGCTCTCAGCCACCGTCACCACTGACTGCTGAGTCTTCCCAGAAGCACCTGCTGCGTTCTCTGCTCCCACCTACCACCCTCCCTGACACCTCCCTGTACAACTTTGTCATCAAATGCTGTCTCTTTTTTTTTCTAATTATGAAATAATAATCTCCCAAGAGTTTACAAAACTTTCAAGTTTATTGTTTTTGTCTGATTCTCACATCAGCCTCAGACACAAGCCGGATTGTTGTTACTGCCTATGTTTTCACTTGTGAGAATTTCAGAGAAATGGGGTACTCCGATTGCATGCTTCCTAAATGGCAGATCCAGGATTAGAACGGTCTTAGTCCAGGCTCAGATTTTGTAACCCTACTACCCTCTTTTTTAACGTACAGATACACCTCTCAGTACTATGTACTTGTTGTTGTTGTTGTTGTGTGCCATTGAGTTGGACCTGACTCATAGTGACCCCTCCTTGGGTTTCCAAGGCAGTATCACTATGTATTAGATGGGCAGAAATTCCTATTGACCTTTCACACTCAACTAGTTGAAAAAGGACTTGATGTTATCCCTGGGGGGGGGGCGGGGGATGCATTTAATTTTGGAGGCAGGCAACATGCTGCCCATCGGTCGGGACCAGTTTGGAACAGTGCTCATCCAAGTATTGGTGGGGTTAAGGCTGAGATCTGCCAATTTGGCGTAAAGTGGGGCATTTATGTCCAAGAGCAGGAACAACGGGTTTTGCAGGCAGCACATACTGTCCTACCACGATAAAGACGGGTCTCTGGTGGGAACACGAAATGGTGGGAGAACAGATTTTTAAAATGGTTGCTCACACCCCCTAACGCCAGTACTCCCCACAGCCCCATGCTCTTGCTCTGCCCGAGAGGGGAGACCACTCTCACGGTCACAAAGATCCCTGAATAAAAATGTCTGGGTGGGGATCAAAGACTGCGAACTGGCTCAGCTCCCACACACACACGCGGCACAGGGATCCTTCACGCGCAAAGAGCTCTACCGCCCCCCATTGGCTCAACCCGGCTCCGGTAGTTTCTCTCGCCCTTTCTGTTCTCAGGCCGAAGGCGCGCGAGATCTCCTGGCCCCGCCCCTTCCCATCATTCCTTCGAATTCTCCGCCTTGTCCCGGCCCCTCTGTTTTAGTTCCAATTCGGCTTGCGGGGAGTAGGTTGCGCTGTTCCGCATGTGACGCAAGCGCGGCGCGAACGGCGCGCGCTGACCGTCTATCCTCTGCTGTGCTACTTTTTTCTGGTCTCTACCTACTTCCTGGGCTTAGAGTCCCGTGTCTTCCTTTCACCCCGCGCGTCATAACTCGTTGCGCGCCCGAGCGAAGGCGCGGGCTCGGGTAGCCCGGAGAACAAGCCCGCCCTAGCGCGAGGTCAACGGCCGCGACCGATTCCAGGTGGGGGATGGGCGGGTGCCGGAGAGTCGCTGGGCCTCCGGCCGGCGCTGGTGCGAGACTGAGGGACAGAGGCCCAAGGGCCAGCGGGTTGCCGTTGCAGGCCGCTTTCGGGTCTGGGCCGTCAGGGGTGGGGCATCGAGACCCTTAGGGGCAAGTTGAAGTATCCGAGTCGTCCTTTTCATCTGTTTGGCAGGGAAGAGGGCTTAGGATGGCGGGAGCAACGGGAGGCAGGCCTTTGCGGGAGGGATGCGGGCGTGCAGCTCCCGGGGGGCGAGCTTCCCTCTTCCCGTCTTTGTTCATCTACATCTTGACTACCCCTCCCCGGGCCCCGGGCCCCCTCAGATCGCGCTATGGGTGACAGTGATGATGAGTATGATCGAAGGCGCAGGGACAAGTTTAGAAGAGAGCGCAGCGACTATGATCGTTCTCGGGAAAGAGATGAAAGGCGTCGAGGGGACGACTGGAATGACAGGTGAGACACTTTTTCTTCGGTTTTGTCGTGGTTCATTCTGTTTCAGTCCACCTTCATTAATTTTCTGTACGATTTTATTAGGGCGAATCATATTGAATTCCTGATACTGGAAACTCTTGTAAAGAAATGTCAGTCCCATCCGATTCATTCTATTTGCTATTAGGTGGAGAACTATATGCTTGCTTTATTTATTTTTTTAATTTTGGGAGTACTTTATAAATCAAGGAATTCTGGTGGCTTAGTGATAAGGCATTTGGCTGCTAACCAGAAGATCAGCGGTTCAAACCCACCAGTCTCTCTGGGAAAAGAAGATGGGCAGGCAGTGTTCTGCCCTAAAGATTTACCGCCTCGGAAACCCAGTCGGGGTCTCTATGAGTCGGAATCAACTCCGTAGCGGTGAGTTTGGTTTTTTGGTTTATAAATGAAATTAGTTTTTCTGTCAGCATCATTGTTAGCAAAATTCTGAAACGCTCCCAAGGGTACCTTCTCTTGTAAAATAAATACTTTCTATTGTTTGAACTGATTTTTTAAATACGCTTGACTTTTGAACTGGTTTGAAGATCAAAGGAATGAAGCTGAAAGTTCAAATGTAAAAATGCATTCTTTATATATATATATATATGTATTTAATATCTGACTCCATGGCAGTGCGTTGCATTGTGTTGCGTTAATATCTGTAGTTTATTGTTTATTGCAAAACCCAAAACCAAACTCACTGTTCTTGAGTCGATTCCCACTCATAGTGACCCCCATTCGGTTTCCAAGGTGGTAAATCTTTACAAGGAAGTAGATTGCCCCATCTTTTGTCCATGGAGTGGCAGTTGGTTTGAACTGCTGACCTTCAGGTTAGCAGCCAACTGCCTTATCCACTATGCCACCAGAGCTTCTTTGCTTATTGTAAATTATACCTGAAAAGAGTTGATTGGAATGCAGTAATTTTTAAAAGAAAATTTTTTATTGTGATTTGGTTGGAAATTTACAGAGCAAATTCACCTTGCATACAGCAGTTCATACACATATTGTTTCATGACATTGACTGCAATTCCCCACAATATAACAGCTCTCTTTCCACTCCCTCCCTGTAGTTACCTTTTCCCTATGTCTTTCTTTCCTATGCATTCCTTCCCCTTGAGCTATCTCCTTGTACAAATACTGCCCTTCTGTTCTCCCATGATTGATCGTTCTAAGGAGTGTACCTACCTGATGTAAGTGTTCACCCACTATGCCTGTCTGTTGTTTGGCTGGAAGCCACAGGAGTGAGTTCAATTCCAGATGTGAAGGGTAATTAGGGCCCATAGTCTTGGGGATCTCACCAGACTCCATCAGAGCAGTAAACCTAGTCTTTTTTTTTTAATGAATTTGAGTTTTGTTCTACAGTGTTTTCCCACTCTATCCAGGATCTCTTGCATTGATCCCTTTCCGAGTGGTTGACAGTGGTAGCTGGGCACCATTTAGTCCTTCTGGTCTCATGGTCATATACGCTGAGGTTCACATGATCCACTAGTTCTTTGGACTAATTGTTTCCATGCATGTTTGGTTTTCCTCATTCTTCTTTGCTCTCCACGAGGAGAGACCCATTGTTGCCACTTGCAAGCTTTTTAAGAGTCTAGTGGCTACTCACCAACGTAGGATGTAGAACAGTTGCAGTTGAGCTTGATGTCCCCAGTGACCATGGTCCTGAGTCTTGGCTGTGATCTTTATGGAAGCAGATCATTAGACCTGTCTTCTTTGGTGCCATTGGGTGGGTTCAAACCACCAACCTTTAGGTTAATAGCCAAAAGCAGTAATATTACAGAATTGGCTTCACTGGGGAGGTTGTCTTGGCAGGATATGATAAAAAATTTTTCTAATTGTTTTGCCTAAAATTTCGAAAAAAAAGTTCTTTGGACAGTGCTAATTGAGTTAATTGGTTACGTTTGAATCAGCTAGTGATTAGCTTTCTGGGATGTTCCTAAATTAGTTACAGTTAAGGTTTTACCCTTGAACTTCCGATATGGTTTCAAATTAATCAAAGTAAGAGGAAATATGGAAGTGTTTTTTTTTAAAAACAGAAGGGACTGATCAGTGAGCTGATGGCAGTGGCTCTGTTTGGAAACAGATTGTGAGTCTGAACTGATTTATTATCATAGTATTTATTCTTCCAGTATCATTTGGGAAAGAGAGTAAATCATTCAACTTGCCAGGCAGTATATCTCTTAACTGTGGAGACCCTGCATGTCCACTCTATTTTCCTTGGTGTTTGCTAAGAACGTTGGAAGAAAATCAAAACTGTTTTGGAGATGATTAAGATGTCATTGCCCTTCAGGAGTTCCTGGAATAGCCTTGGGGCTGTGCTGCAAATGATCATATATGAAAGCGTATGTGAAAGAAGATCATAAAAATAGTTCAGGGAACATTCTTACAAAGGAAGGGAGAGCTACAGGCAAGTGGCACTTAGCCAGACTTGGAAGGGTGAGTGGGGAATTCCTCAAACACAGATGGAGTGAACATCTTGGAGTTGTGAACGAATGCTGTGTTCGGGAAACAGTACAAATTCTAGTTTGGTTTAAGTAGTGATTCTCAAAATGTGGTCCACAGGCCTTCGGGGATCCCCTAGTCCCTTTCAAGAGGTCTGTGAGGTTAAAACTATTTTCGTAGAAACACTAAGGTTAGTGCTTTCACTGTGTTGACATTTGAACTGATGGTGCTATAGCAACGGCGGGTGAAACTGCTGGCACCTTAGCACAAATCAAAGCAGTGGTACCAAGCTGTAGTAGTAGTCATCGTTTTCTTCACTGCCACACCTCACAGGAGAAAAATAAAAAAACAGCTTCACGTAAGAATGCCCTTGATGGAGCGGTATGGATTATGAGTTTTATTACGTTAGACTCAAGTACTTTTCTGAGATGCTTGGTAATGTTGGGTAATATGATATTTTGATATGTTTAATGAGATGTATGAAGATTCATTCAAAGAACAAGATAGATTTTAACACAGTATGAAACACGCATGATAGGATTTCAGAGGCCACATTGCAGCTAACCTTTAAAACGACCACTTGCTTTGGAAAATAGCAAAGAACACTATCCACAATTACCTGAAAAGACTGCCAGATGCCTCCGTTTTCCAAGTCCCTGTTGGTACGAGGCTGGCTTTTCTGCACCTGTTTAGCCAGGACAACGTGGCACAACAGATTGAGGGGAGACACAGATCACAGAATCCAGCCATCGTCTGTTAACCCAGACCTTAAAGAGATTGGCCAAATGTAGAGCAGTGCCACTTTTCTCACTACAATGTTTTGGGAAATACAGGTTTCCCCTGCTATCCGAAAGTAGAATGGTCCCATTGAAACCTTTCATAAGCTGAAATTGTGTAAAGCAAAGAAGCAATTACCATTAATTTATATGGGAAACATTTTTGAGTGTTCCCAGACCCAAAAAATAACCTACCAAATCATACCAAAGAACACATATAAACTAAAATCTTAACACTAACATATTAAGCAGGCATGGTAGGATAGACACACAAGTTATGTGAAGTAGAAATAATGTACGTGCAGTTTGGTTCCTGGGGAAGGAGTGTGGCATTGCCACGCTTGCCTACTGTTTGTGCAGGGTGCAGGCTGCCTCTTTAATGGCAGAAAGCAAAACATACGCTGAGTGCTAGTTTCACTTTTCACCTTTGTTCTTAAAAGTGGAAATCCTCTTTGGATTTCATTCAGTTAACAAAAGCAGGTACTAATTTAGGTCTTCAGTAAAAGTGAAGTGATATAAGGCGAACTTTTGAAGGGGGGGGTACTTGTAAGCATTTTTCATGTAAATGTGTAATACATATAATAGGTAATTTAAGAGTGAACAGATATTTAAAATTTGCTGTTGTGATTTGGAGTATGGTAAATATTGATAGATACAACAACAAACCAAAAACTCTTTGACATCCTCAGTTTTTAAGAGTGCTGAGACCATTAAGTTGAAAACGGTTGGGTTAGAGGAGCTCCTGGAATGACAACTAGGAACCAAGGTTTTGAACAGTGTTGTTTGCTGGCGTGTAAACAAGGGCATGCCACAATCAGAGATGTGTTTAAGAAAGCTCACTTTGAAAATAGACGGGAGAGAACTTAAAAACAAAACCATTGCTGCATGCAATTCAAGGAGAATCAACCAGGGAATGGACCAGGTTAGAGTTTGTGGGGATGGCAAAAAAAAGTGGATTGCTTTGATAGTTTCTTTGTTTCAAACTTTTTATTTTGATCTGGGTGAAATTTTACAGAGCAGATTTGTTTGCCATTTAGTAATTCATACATGTTTTGTTTTGTGACATTGGTTACAATCCCCACAGCTCTCTTCCCACTTCTTCCTGTGATTACCTTTTCCCTGTGTCCTCCTTTCCTATGGATTCCTTTCTCTGCCTCGGTAGGTTTTGAGACACAGGGTTAAGACAGTAACAACTGAGCTGTGATACTTGATAACTGGGTAGATGTGATACATTGGTGTAACAGTGGGAAACAGGAGGGAGGCAGGGTTGGGTGCATGGTGGTGGGCTTTGTAATAATAACGGGCTTCATTCTGGCATGCTGAATTTGAGGTGACAATGGATTCTGTTTGTTGTTAGGTGCCATCAAGTCATTTTGACTCCGTGACCCCATGTGACAGAATAGAACTGCCCCATAGGGTTTTCCAGGCTGTAATCTTTATGGGAGCAGATCCCCAGGTCTCTGTTCTGTGGAGCTGCTGGGTGGGTTCAAACTACCAACCTTTAAGTTAGCATCTGAGCGCTTAGCTATTGTGCCACGTGGCTCCTTGGATGTCTAATTGGGGCTTATTAATGTGGATTTGGAGCTTGGGTAAAAGGCCAGGCTGGGCAATGATTGAAGTGATAGGAGAAGACAACAAGGAGTGTTTCTGTTTGGAGTGAAGTTTTATGATTTTAGATGTCAGCCTGTGCAGCCTAGCATCGAAGCTAAGTAGATTTCAGAGAGATGCAGCTGGTTCCTGTGAGGTGGAGGTCAGACTCACCTCCACTCTCTAGCTTTGTCACCGTTTCTGACAAGCTGCACCCCCCATGGCATTCTGTTTCCCACTGGACTCGATGATTCGTTGTAATGGCCACATGGAACTCACAGATCGTACTCATGGTTATGTGGTGTATTAGGCAAATAACAAGTGTAACTTGGGATCAAGATCAACTTGGAAGTAACAGGAACACCTTGGGATCAGGATCAGGTGAGGTCTGAAGGCTTTGTTGAGGTGAAGAGAGTGCACACTTCTTCAGTGCAGGGCAGTTTCCCACCAGGGCAGCTTGCTCAGGTCCTTCTCGTGGCGGTGCTAGCAGGTAGGCTGTCCTCTCGGCCGTGCACGGGGCTCCTGGCCTTCAGCCTCCCTGCCGTAGGCCTTTGCACCGTTAACTGGCCCAGGTCACGGCCAGGGTAGCAGCTTGCTCGGCTCTCATGGCTGCTTTCCTCGCCCAGCTTCCTGCCACCCCCAGTAGCTCTGCTGCAGGGCCCCTTCTGGGCTGCTCGCCATCTTCAGTGACAGCCCTTGACTCGTGTTACAGCTCTTAAGGGAGCTTTCTCTCTCTTTCTCTTTTTCTTAACCTCTTTTTGTCTCTCAAAATCTCTGTAGGCTTGCTTGCTCATATAAGCACCCTCCTTGCCAGTTTCAAGCCGCGATCCTCCCAGCAGGACCAGACAGACCAATCCCCACAAGTCACTCAGTCCTGTTGAATGGATTTTCAAGCCACTATTTGCGTAGCAAATCCACTGATCTCTGCAAGGTGTAAGATAGCTGCCTACGGCCAAACAAACAGCAGCAAACCATCAGGTTGTTTACATTTTATCCAGGAAGTGTCAGTCACCCCAGGAATCCCCTGGGTAAAAGTAACAACAAACCTTCTGGGCCAGAAAACAACCTGGGAGGTCCCCCTCACCCAAGTTGCATCTCTAAAGAACTAGCGCAAAGGTCACCTCAGGACTTAGAGGAAAAAATCTCCCAAGCTGTTTTTCTAAAGAACCAAGGCACACGGTCATGTAAAGGAACTAATTTCTCCATAGTCTGTGTGAAAATGACATCAGGGAGGAGTTGTGTGACCTCTTCACCTCACAAATTAGGAGCAGAATCAAGATTAGCATCAGCAGCCCAAGGCCGATTCCTGTGAGGTGGAGCTACCCTCCAGCCTTTTTCACCGATTCTGACACCAGCTGTCCCACCACAGACACTCTACTTCTCTGCTGGGTTCAATAATTCATTGCAGTGGCCACACAGAACGCAACAAGACTCACGATTATGTGTGTATATATATATATATATATATATTTTTTAAAAAGGGAAGTAACAGGTTATAGTTCAGGTTCAGGAACACTCAAGATACAGTTATTCAGTCAGGACATAGTCCCCTCATCTATGCACACAGACACGGACTCTCTGGCCCTTGGCCTCTTAGCCACTTGCCCTGCTCCACGATGTGTTACAAAGCTCTTCTCGCTTTGCTGGTAAATGTCTCAAGGCACCTTGCTCTGCCAGTAATCCTTAGCTTGAAGGCGTTCAGCTGTCGTACTCCCACCCACCGCTCTCCTTGTGGCTGGGCTGCATCTGCTGCCACCATTTCTCCGCTGGGGCTTCTCATTTGTCTGTGTGACAGCTCTCTTGTCTCCTGGATCGCGGAGGTTTGGTGCAGAGACCTCAGGCAAAGGGCACACTCCACTCCTGGCTCTTCTTTCTTGATGGTAGTGAGACCCACCCACCCCTTCCTGCCTTGGGATGGCTCATTTTAAGCATACATAACGTTAGGATGGCAAAACTGACCGTTCGGTTCCATACACGTTCAGGTTCCATGCATTTTATTTGCATGGTCCCACCTGCACAAGCGTGCCATGCCCCTTATTTACATTACAAGCAATATAACCAATCCCCTGGGTGGGCCACCAGCACTTCACGTAGTTCCACCTCATTGTGTGGTGAGAGTCATACAGACCACAGCTGGAAGGGCCATGAAGCAACTCACTGCACTGCAGGCTGGTGTCTCAGAAAGGAGAGATCCTGTCTGGGAGGGTAGCTGTGGGGTATCCAGCGGTCTCTTAGTTACTGTTTCTTGTCTTTCCCTCCAGAGAGTGGGACCGTGGCCGCGAGCGACGCAGTCGGGGTGAATACCGTGACTATGACCGGAATCGGCGAGAACGCTTCTCTCCGCCCCGCCACGAGCTCAGCCCCCCGCAGAAACGCATGAGGAGAGACTGGTGAGAACACGGTAGTTTCTCAGGGTCCTCTCCGGGGCCTCCGCTCTCTTCCCTCATCTTTGCCGAAGCCTCTGTCATTTCCTTTTCTCAAATTTCCCATGAACTCATTGTTCCTTTGTCCCGTCATACCCTGGGTGAGATGGCATTCCCCAGCTGCACCCCCTCTGCCTCGCTCCTTGTGTTCTGGAGGACGGAGCCCTTCTCTGTCTGACTTTTGTGTCCCCCACCCTCAGGGATGAGCACAGTTCTGACCCATACCACAGTGGCTATGAGATGCCCTATGCTGGGGGGGGCGGGGGCCCAACTTACGGCCCCCCTCAGCCCTGGGGCCACCCAGACGTCCACATCATGCAGCATCATGTACTGCCTATCCAGGCCAGGTAAAGACCTGCGGCTCTCGGGACAAGGGAGTTGGTAGGCTTGGAGGTGGAGCGGGGTTGCTGAAGAGCCATGACGAGCCAGGAAGTGGGTCAGGCACACGGAGGAGTGCCCGTGGGGGTGGCAGCAGCTGGTGCCTGGGCTGACGTCCATGGTGGGCAAAGGAAGGGGGCAGCTGGCTACCTCGGCCCCCCCATCCCCCCACCCTCTTCCCCCACAACCAAGACCTCCTGACCGGGCCCTCCCCAGGCTGGGCAGCATCGCCGAGATCGACTTGGGTGTCCCGCCGCCTGTCATGAAGACCTTCAAGGAGTTTCTTCTGTCACTGGATGACTCTGTGGATGAGACGGAGGCAGTTAAGCGTTACAATGACTACAAGCTGGATTTCCGAAGGCAGCAGATGCAGGATTTCTTCCTGGCTCACAAAGATGAGGAGTGGTGAGTGCCCCTCCTCCGCTGCGTTTCCCCGGGCGTGTTTCTCTGGCCCAGCCAGTGGAGCGTGCAGCCCTGCCCTCCCGTTCTCCCCAATCCAGAATTTCGTGGGGGCGGGGGATGGGAAGGATACCAGCATTGGCTGATGGGGTCTCCTCGGTTCAACGACTGCCATGGCGCCCCAGCCCCACTCCCTTCCGTGCTGTCCTCAGTGAATGGGACACCTCCAGGCAGCTGGCCGGAGACACCTGGCCCCTCGGGGCAGCAGACAGACTGTCACCCACTCGCTGGCATTGGGTCATTGTCATTCCTGATCGCTGGGACCCTCTGTGGCTGTGGCATCCTCCCAAAAACGACGAGTGAATCCAGACAAGAAAATCAAAGATCTCAGGGTCGTTTGACAGAAAAAAGAATTTTAATTTTTTTTCCTTTTGTGGATGTTTTAATTTTAATCAACCATCTTTTCCCCCCTTCCTGCTCCTCCTCCTCACCCTCTTTCTGCTCCTCCTCCTTGAAAAGAGCCAGAACTGGGAACTACACCCGCCCATCGCCGGAGCTCGGAGCAAACCCACCTCACCCCCACCATACCCAGCCCATACATGAGCCCCTGGGCTGAGCCTCGCTGCCCCGGCCAGGCAGACAGGCAGGGCGCCGCTGTGCACAATGCAGCGGTCTAGCTGAATGTGATTGCTCAGGCAGCTAGTCAGTCAGGGCCCCCACCGCGGAGTCCCGCGGGGGTGGGGCACCCGGCCGGGCAGCCCCAGCCAGGAGCCAGCCGGCGGCCCCCCAGCCAGCATGGGCCCTGGGCACGGCTAGTTAAATCTTGAGCTCTGTTTGACCCAGCAGCCAAGGTAAAGATCCTGGAGGTGATGCCTGCGGCTTTTCCTTTGCTCTCACGCTGACCATGTGGCTCTGTCCCGTCTTCCTCTGCCCTCTCCTTTCTTTGTCTCGTCTCTAATTTACTTTGAGTCTTTCCCGTCCCTCTTCTTGCTCCATAACACTTCTCTCTCTGTGTTTTCGTTCTCACTGTCTGCTCTTCACTTTGTTTTCGCTGTCTGGGAGTTTCTCACCCTTTCCCTTCCTTTTCCTTTTTCTCATCCTCTTGATTTCTTCTCTTCCCTCCCCCTCTCCCAGGTCCTATTTTCAGTGTTTTCTTTCTCACGTTCCACCCCAGCCTGCTGCCCCTCTCTCTCTGTCCCGGTGGCCAATACCTAAGGTTATGAGGGCACTTCAGTTTCCCTCTAGTCTTTCCCTATCCCCTCACCATCTTGCTTGTCTTCCCAAGGGGGGGGGAAGACACTTTGCCTCTTTCTACCTGGTTTTTCAGGTTTCCCTCTGTCTCCCCACTAGGGATGGAGGGAATTGGTGGGAGCAATCTATTAATGACTAGAGTTTGGGGTTGGCAAGAAGAGGGAGGTTCTTCAGGGCCTGTAATTCCTTAGTCATCCTCTCTGGCACTTCGGGAAACTTTATAAATCACTGTTTCCCGGAGACTTGGGGCAATCAATGTGCCACTCCGGCCCTGCCCTCCTACTTTGTCATTTTTCTTCCCAAATCCAGAGCTCTTAGTTCCTGATTCTCCCCCATATCTTCTCAAGCACAACCTTTGGTTCCCTTTGGGATTGATTGGGTGGTTCTAGTGTACCCCTCTCCCCTAATCTCTACTTTGCTGCTCTTTTGTGGGTGTGAGAGGAGGGGGGCTGTGCCCTAACTTTCCTGGGCCCCTCCTCACATCCTACCCCTGGCCGCCGGTGACGGATTTTCTCTCTTCCTCCCCCGTTCCTTCCCAGGTTTCGGTCTAAGTACCACCCAGATGAGGTGGGAAAGCGTCGGCAGGAGGCCCGGGGGGCCCTGCAAAACCGACTGAGGGTGTTCCTGTCTCTGATGGAGAGTGGCTGGTTTGATAGTCTTCTCCTGGACATAGACAAAGCTGATGCCATTGTCAAGATGCTGGATGCAGGTGTGTGAGTGGACGGTGGTGGGGGTAGGCGGGGTTGTCTCGTGACCAAAGTCTTGTTGAGAAATAGGAGCAGGTGGACAGAAAGCCAGAGGCTGAAGGCGAGGGCCCTTGGATGATGACCTCTGCTTTTTGGTTGTAGCTGTGATTAAGATGGAAGGAGGCACAGAGAACGACCTGCGCATTCTGGAGCAGGAGGAGGAGGAGGATCAGGCAGGAAAGCCTGGGGAGCCCAGCAAGAAGGAGGAGGGCCGGGCGGGACCGGGGCTGGCGGACGGGGAGCGCAAGGCCAGCGACAAGGACGATAAGAAAGAAGACGGCAAGCAGGTCGGGGTGACGGGCCATAAGGGGGGAGGCTGGGAGTGGAGCTGCTTCAGGGGTGGTGGGTCCAAGGGGCTGGAAGTAGGGGATGGTGTGGCGGGTGGGCTGAGCTGTGGAGGCTGGGAGGGAGGGAGCCATCTGATGAAGGTTGAAGGGGAGAGTTGACATCCCCGGTGACTGCCTCTTCCCGAAGGCTGAGAACGACAGTCCTAATGATGACAAAACTAAGAAATCCGAGGGTGATGGGGACAAGGAAGAAAAGAAGGACGACTCTGAGAAGGAAGCCAAAAAGGTGGGCTGGCTTACGTGGGGTTGGAATGTCAGAGCTGGGTCCTGGGTTCTGACCCCTCCCCTCCCGCTGTCATGCCACAGAGCAGCAAGAAGCGCAGTCGCAAGCACAGTGGTGACGACAGCTTCGACGAGGGCAGCGTGTCTGAGTCTGAATCCGAGTCGGAGAGTGGCCAAGCTGAGGAGGAGAAGGAGGAGGCTGGTTGGTTCTGTTTTCTGTTGACAGTCTGTTGTCTTCCACCTGGACAGGTTAGGGACAGGGTGGGGGAGACTGGTAGAGTGGACGGGGTGGAGGGAGGTGGTGCCTGTTTAGGGAGACTTCTCTGGGGGGTGGTAGCAGCTTGCTTCTGTATCCTCCCCTCCAAAACAAGATCCACCAACTCCCACCACCTCTCGCACAGAAGAAGCACTCAAGGAAAAGGAGAAGCCCAAGGAAGAAGAAAGGGAGAGACCGAAGGAGGCCGCAGGGCTGGAATGCAGACCCCGGCCTTTGCATAAAACCTGCTCTCTGTTCATGCGCAACATCGCACCCAACATCTCCCGTGCTGAGATCATTTCTGTGAGTTGGGGAAATGGTGTCCGAGCCGTGATGACCCCCAGGCATCGTTCCTTGGAGGAGGCCCAAGGCACCCATTTCTCTGACAGGGAGGCCCCTTCCCGTGGGACACACCTGCTAGGCCTGACCGTGTTGCTTCATTTGCTTTTGGGGGCTGGCATCCTTAAGCTCTTTGTTGTTCTGTCCTTGCCTAAGGAGGGGAAAGGTTAAAAGGCAGTGGTCCTCGGGTTCTGAGGACTGGGGATTGGCAGAAGCAGCCTCCTTGTGTCATCACTAAATGGGGGCTTCTCTCCTCTGCTCTTCCAGCTTTGTAAAAGATACCCAGGCTTTATGCGTGTGGCGTTATCCGAGCCCCAGCCGGAGAGGAGGTAAGGAACTGAGCGGCGTTGCCCTGGAGACTTGGAAGAGAAGGTGCAGGGTGGGGTTAGCGGCCAGCGCTGCGGCCAGGGCTGTCCCCCACTCCTAGATGATGCTGGAGTTTTGTTCTTTTCTCTCTCGGTTAGGTTTTTCCGTCGTGGATGGGTAACCTTTGACCGCAGTGTCAATATCAAAGAGATCTGTTGGAACCTGCAGAATATTCGAGTGAGTTTTAAGGAGAGGAACTTGGCTGTCCGTGCTCCATACAGATTCTTTTGTCTGTTCGTGGAGTCGTATACGCACCCTATTTTATCCATTTGGTCCCGCTCACGTGTAATGTGTACTGTTGTCTCGATGAGGCTCTGGGGCTGCTAACCAGGAACAAGATACAGCTGGTCCGTGTCCTTGGGACGTCGTAGTCTTACGACCGATGCCAACAGGGCCATTGTTGGAGTTGCTGACTCTTGGGCAAATCGTGCTAGGGTGGTGAGCCTTGTGATGACCTGTTCTCTCCTGCAGCTCCGGGAATGTGAGCTGAGTCCTGGTGTGAACAGAGACCTGACGCGGCGTGTCCGTAACATCAATGGCATCACCCAGCACAAGCAGATAGTGCGCAACGACATCAAGCTGGCAGCCAAGCTGATCCACACGCTGGACGACAGGACCCAGCTCTGGGCCTCAGAGCCTGGAGCAGCACCTCTGTCAACGGTCAGTGACACCTTGTTCCCACCCACTTCTCTTGGTCCCTTCTTGTCTGGGTAGTAACACCACCTCCGGTGCTCAGCAGAACAGACTGGTGCTAATAATTATTTGTGGGTTGTTCCGTGCCCCTGAGATGATTTCAGCTCATGGTGACCCTGTATGATGAGGTAGAACTGCCCCGTAGGGTTTCCTAGGCTGTGATCTTTACGAGAGCGGATTGCCAGGAATTTTTTTCCCTGTGGAGAGGCTGGTGGGATCCAATTGCCGACTTTTTAGGTTGCGACTGAGCACTTTAATTGCTGCACCACCAGAGCTCCTTACTTGTAGGTTAGGGTAGGATAAATAAAAGCGAAGACAAAGCTAATTACTAAATGAGGCAAAAGCTAACAGGTCAAGTGAGACCTGAACTCCTCAGCCCCTCACAGTGCCTTTTCAGATGAGGCCCTTAGGCTGTCTTCCCTGAGGGGTTTGCCTTGCCTGCCCCTCTTCATCACCCCTACTCCTTCTCCCTGCCCCCCAGAGTCTGCCATCTCAGAACCCAATCTTGAAGAACATCACTGACTACCTGATCGAGGAAGTGAGCGCTGAGGAGGAGGAGCTGCTGGGGAGCAGTGGGGGGGCGCCCCCAGAGGAGCCTCCGAAGGAGGGGAACCCGGCCGAGATCAACGTGGAGCGAGATGAGAAGCTCATCAAGGTGCTGGCTTCAGCCTGGGGGGCCCTGGAGAGCATGAAGGAGTGTGGTCAGTAACAGGTCTGACCTGGCTTCTCATTTTCCTGTAGGTTTTGGACAAACTCCTTCTCTATTTGCGCATTGTACATTCCCTGGATTACTACAACACGTGTGAATACCCCAATGAGGATGAGATGCCCAACCGCTGTGGCATCATCCACGTCCGGGGTCCCATGCCACCCAATCGCATCAGTCACGGTGAAGGTGAGCTCCCAGGCCCCGTTCCCGAGTGCCCTGCCATGTCCCCTTCGCCCCGTTCCCGAGTGCCCTGCCATGCCCCCTTCACACACACACACACACACACACACACACACACACACACCCGCCTCTGATCTTCCTGGCATTCTGTCAGCCCCTCCTCCTGGAAGGCGTTCCTCCTCCTCTGAGTCCCTGCTTCAGGTTCCCTGCTGCAGACTGCTCTCCTCTCTCCCCCCACCTCCCAGTGCTGGAGTGGCAGAAGACGTTTGAGGAGAAGCTGACGCCGCTGCTTAGTGTGCGAGAGTCTCTTTCAGAGGAAGAGGCCCAAAAGATGGGTCGTAAAGACCCTGAGCAGGAAGTGGAGAAGTTTGTCACCTCCAACACCCAGGAACTGGGCAAGGATAAGTGGCTATGCCCTCTCAGTGGCAAGAAATTCAAGGTCTGGGATGATAGAATTGACTTGTTAAAACTGTGGGAGGAGGAGGGTGGGCCAGGAGACCTCTTAAGACAGGGCCTGGGGAGGGAACTGGGGCAGTCCAGACTCTCGGCAGGAGGGGAGGAGAGGGGAGTGCGATTCTTCCAGATTGGGTCTGTGGAGAGATTTTGAAGAAAAAAACAAACTCATCCATCACAGTCAGATTAGTTCTGACTCGGCAACCCCGTATGACAGGGAACCGCCCTGTGCTTTAAGGAAGCAGACTGCCGTAGTTTCTTCCCAAGGAGCAGCTGGTGGGCTCAGACTGCTGACCTTCTGGTTGGCAGCTCAGCACTGAACGACTGTGTCATCAGGCTTCCTTGTGGAAAAGAGTAGTGAACCCAGATTCCTCTGTCCTGACCCTCTTCTCTTCATCTAGGGCCCCGAGTTTGTACGCAAACATATCTTCAATAAGCACGCAGAGAAAATTGAGGAAGTGAAGAAGGAAGTGGCATTTTTTAATAATTTCCTCACTGATGCCAAGCGCCCAGCTCTGCCTGAGATCAAGCCAGCTCAGCCCCCTGGCCCTGCCCAGAGTAAGATACGATCCATGATGGTCTGTCCCATTTTCCCCTCCCTAGGCCATCCAGGGACTCCCTGGAATGTGTCATCCTGAGATGTTTCTACCCCACCCTCAGGCAGTATACTTAGAGCAGTATTGTTCATGCCCCCGCGCTGATGCCCCCCGCAGTAATTCATGTCCCTGTCTGTGTTGTACTCCCCCCAGGCCTGACGCCAGGACTCCCCTACCCACACCAGACGCCCCAGGGCCTGATGCCCTATGGTCAGCCTCGGCCCCCCATCTTAGGTTATGGAGGTAAGTTTAAGAGGGGAGAGGAAAGGGCTCGGTGGTTGTGTGGGGCTGGGAGGAAGACAATTGAGGATGTAATTGAGGTGGTCATTTCTCAACATGATTATTTTCATAGCTGGTGCTGTCCGCCCTGCAGTGCCCACAGGAGGGCCTCCGTACCCCCATGCCCCATACGGTGCTGGCCGAGGGAACTACGATGCCTTTCGAGGCCAAGGGGGTTATCCCGGGAAACCCCGCAACAGGTGAGAATGAGCAGCAGCATCTAAGCTTTTGTTGCCCTCTTCATACTCCTCTTTAGGGACCCTGCACTCTCACCCCATTTTACACTTATCTCAGGATGGTTCGGGGAGACCCACGGGCCATTGTGGAGTATCGTGACCTGGATGCCCCAGATGATGTTGATTTCTTCTGAGCCATCCACTCCCTCCCTCCTGATAGCATCTGTACTTGTGACTGCCTTGTCCCAACAGCTGAGAAATTTTTGTACGTTCAGCCCTACTGCCAATAAAAGCACTTCCCCAGTGATGACTGAGTGCATCATACTATGGACTCCCCAAGTGTTCCCAAAGACTGGTGGGGCCGTTGTTAGCTGGGACTGGCCACTTTATTGATGACAAGTGTCTCAGGCTCTGCAGGGACTGGACTTCCTTGGGGCTTGACGTCCAGCAACCCTCACTGCCTCTCAGAGGAGTTAAGTGGCCAGAGACAGTCTCAGTTCTGGGCCCTTAACAGTCCAGGGTGTGCTGCTGCTTCTGCTGCTGCTGCTCCAAACGGCTGGTCAAGCACAGGTTGTAGAAGGAGTTGGGGTCAAAGGCTGTGGCTACCTCCTGCCAGCCCACCCATCCAGCAGCCTGTAGTTCAGTGGGGTTTTCAGGAGCACCCCAGCAGTGGGGGTCCAGTATCAGGACGTGGGCTTCTGTGCGTGGCCCCAGGCACACTCCCAGCAAGGCCTTGGCTCGGGCATCCGCATCTCCTCCCACCATTACAGGTCCCCCACCCTCTGAAAAGTGGGAGTAAAGCCTGTCCAGTTCCCCCTGAAGGCCCATACCACGGGGTACGTGGCAGAGGCGCCCCTGGGGCCCTCCGAAGTGGGCGAGGCAGAGGCTGGCTTCTACACAGCCGATCCAGCTCGGGGAGCCGCGGAACCCTGGAGGCTTGTCGCCCATGTCCTCCAGGGCTGCCTGCACGGCGGCCAACCCCGGCACGCCCGTGGACTGGCCCTCAGGCCACGAGCACAGAGTTTGCAGGGTGCGGTAGCCGCAACCCCACCCCCGGTCGTCTAGACCGTCGCAGCCATAATGGTAGTAGAGATAGTGGCCCGAGAGTAGGGCTAGGCGATCGTAGCCGCGGCATGGCGGGGCCAGGCCCAGGTGGACGTCTCTCAGCAGTTCCAGGACGATTACCGGGAGCGGGGGTCAGCAAGTCCTGGCAGATGCGTTCCCCCGGCGCCAGGTGCGAATTGCAGGGAGAACTCGAGGCTCCAACGCTTCCTCCTGGCGAAAGATCTTAAGTCTAACTGGGTAGAACTGCCGCGCTGGCTCCGGGGACGTTCCTCCGGCATTAGACCGGCGGGAGCTCCCACAATGCACCGCCGTGCCCGCCCCTCCGCAATGCGTCACTGCGGCAAGCCCGCCGGCTTTCAGGGCGCAGGCGCTATCTCCGCTACGTGGGGCGGGGCAGCTCGGGAGCACAATCGCCCAGCGTCGTCCCGGGGGGACTTGTCTGGCAACTCCAGCCCCAAACATCAGGCCCCTACCCCCGGCTTCCCAGTCGCGCACACTCCTGTGACTGTAACAGTTTATTGGCAGCCCAGAGGGGCGAAGGCACCGCAGGGGAGGGAGCTCGGCCCGAGACATGCAGAGGACGGGGAGCCCCCGAGGAAAGTCAGGGCGCACAGGGTCTGGGGCTCATCTGTTATAGCCCAGCCCTTAAATAAATAGTATATACAGCTAGAGGGCGGGGTGGGCGGGGTAGGAAGGGGCTCGGGCTCCCGCCTGGGTCACAGGTCTGAGCAGCGCGGGGTGGGCGGGGCAGGAAGGGGCTCGGGCTCCCGCCTGGGTCACAGGTCTGAGCAGCGGCCCTGCTTGCTGTAGTGGTCGAACTGGTTCTTCCAGTGCACCATGTAGGAGCTCCAGCGGTGGAACTCGGCCTTCCACTGGCGCTCCGCCTCGTCGAGCGTGTCTGCGGCCAGGGTGCCGGCAAGTAGGCGGGGAACAGACACAGGGAAGGTCAGGGAATGGACGAGGGGGGGCGAGGATGCCGAGAGGACACACGGACAATGTGGGAGACCACGTGGGGTGGTGGGGAGAGCATCAGGCGAACAAGCGAAAGACGACGACGAGAGGGAGGACGAGGGTGGAGACGGGGCCAGAGGAGGAGGGCAGGAAGGAGGGGAGACGGAGAAAATGACCGGAAGACAGTGGCCAGAAGGGATCCGAAGGGGAGTGGGTTGGGGGGAAAAAAGAAGAGACAGAAATGGTTGACAGTTATAGCCCCACTGGGGGTGCTATCCTGCTACGGGCCCTCCCTCTCCTCCCAACATCAGGCTCAAGCTGCAAAGGTTAATTTTTTGTATAAAAGTCTTCGGCTTCTCCATTTAAACAGCAAAGGGGTGTGGGTCCCTGAGATGGGTCGCGAGTCACCTCTCCCCCCATGTCCAGTTTGAGTCTCCTGGTTTGATTAGGGAGGGGCGCTAGGTCGGAGTCCCTGAGTGGGGCCCCTCCCCACGGTCGACCACTCATTAGAGGAGAGGCCGTGGTCACAGCCGCAGGAGCCGGGAGGAGAGGAGGAGGAGGAGGAGGAGGAGGAGGGGCAAGGGGAGGCCGGGCCCGGGCCTCAGGGCAGCCTCCCCGTGGGCGGGGCCTGAGCAGGTGCTGGGAGCCTCCGGGGCTGGGGATGGAGAAGAGAGGGGTTACGCCCAGCCGGCTCCAACTCCCCCCTCTCTTCGCGCCCCAGTGCGGCACCCCCGCCTCCCAGCCCCTGCCCAGGCTGGTCCCGGCGTACCGGTGGCGCTGAGCAATTTGGGAAGGAAGCGGTTCCAGAAGGCGCAGGCCTGGGCGCGCAGCCCCCGCCGCACCTCCAGCGGCCGCAGGTTCAGGCTCACGTACTGCTGTGCCCCCGCAGTGTACGGTGGCCACTGCGGGGCTTTGGGGTCCCGGGGATCATTGGGGTCCCTGCGAGAGGAAAGGGAAGCCTCAGCTCCCCATAACCCTGCCCCGCCCCCAGGAGAGGGAGGTGAGGGATGGTGGGGGGCAGATGGAGCAGGGGAAGCAGGGCTTCTAACCCTGGGGTCTTCAGCCCATTCCCCCTCCTACCACCTCCTCAACCCCTACCTGTTCTCTGCCTTCGGTCTCCTTACCCCCGTTTTTCCCCTCCGTCTGTGCTCCCATTAGAAAAACTGCTGCCATTTATCGAGTCCTTACTATGTGACCTGGCCCAGTTCCCCTCTTAAATACCTCGTTCACGCTGGGCAACGTGGATTTGATGCTGGATTTAGTGTCTCCCACTTCAGGCAAGTAAACTGCTGTTGGGGCGGTGTTGAGGGAGGCTCACAACAGCGCTGATGCAGTTTAATTCAGACTAAAGTTCATGCTTCTGTATGAACTCGTCTTCGTCTCAGACTCTCTTCTGTTTGCCTCTCTCTCTCTCACTGCCCTTATCTTTTGGGACTTGCCATTCTGCCTTGCTCTCTCTCTAACCTTTCCGCCTCTTAACCTTCTTTTCTTTATGAACCTCTCCTCCCCACCTCCCGCCCTCTCCCTCCCTCCGGCCCTGTCTGCTTGCCCCGCCCCCTTCCCCCGCCCCGGCTCCCAGAGGCCCTCCTCCCCCTCGGCACTGCTGACCCTGTGCGGGCGAAGTTGGCCCAGTATCTCATCAGCCGCTGGGCAAATCTCCTCTCTTCCACCGTGTAGTTTAACGAGGGTTCCAGGGGGAGCCCAAAGATGAACTCGATCTCGTAGCCGTGGGGCACCCCCATCCAGAGGGGCCAGGAGAGCGTGGAGGCACGGTGCTCAAAGATGTAGGCATAGACTCGGGCACCCTGGGTGGCCAGTCGCCCAGCCAGCTGGGCCACGGGGCACACCACGTTGTGGTCGCCCACCACATCGCTCATGGCCTCCCTAAGCCGCGCTGGGTCTTCGGGGTGCAGCCAGTCTGTGTAATGCAGGACCACAGCCTCGGCCACCAGGTCACTCACCTGGGGGACCCCGACCCGCACCCCGGCCAGGAACTGGGCCCGGCTGATGAGAGACTCGTTGTCTTTGCTGAAGCCTGGGGCCCCGTAAACCAGAAAATAGGAGCCCTCATCCTTCACCACACCCACCAGCACCTGAGGGGACAGGATGAAGGACAGGGGCACAGACGGACAGGCAGACAGAAACAGACAAAGAGCCAGAGAGATGAACAGTTATAGACCCAGAACCACGGACCGAGAGAGTACGAGATGGGGGAAGGGATGGCGAGAAAGAGGAAAATGTAGCCACGTTTCCACTCTTTTGATCACCCTGGGGTCCGAGTGTGTTTGTGCCCGAGTCCTCAGGGAGGAGGAGGTGGGCATGGGGCCTGGAAGCCTGGGTCTCTGGGAGTGGGTCTTGAGCCCTCATGCCTAGGTCCCTGGGGAGGGGGGGAGAATGGGCCCAGAGGAACCAGCTCCACCCTCGCCAGCCACTAGTTACCTGCAAGCCCTGGAAGTCTCCAGCGTTGATGAGGGCCTCGGGTGTGTCACTGAGGAAGTCTCCGTCTACCACAGGCACAAAGGAGAATCGGAAGACACTTTCTTGAGGCAGTACGCGCCACTCGTGGTCAACCAGGTCCTGGGCAGGCCGTGTCCGTAGGCAGGCCACCAGCTCTGTGTCATTGCCACCAGTGCCGCCCGGGGGACAGCCTACAAGGCGGGCCAGCAGTGTGGCTCTGCGGCGGGCCTCTCCCACGCCCACGGTGGCCCAGGGCCCATTGGGTGCCCCGCTCTGCAGCACAGCCCTGTGGAACAGGCCCCGGCTGGGCGGGGACAGCAGGTGCATGCCTACAGAGGCAGCGCCGGCACTCTCCCCGAACAGTGTCACTGACATTGGGTCCCCCCCAAAGGCTGCCACATTCTCTTGCACCCACTGCAGTGCCAGCCTCTGATCCAGCAGACCCACGTTGCCTGGGGCCTCCCGGCTCCCCGGCAGGGCCAGGAAACCAAAGGCTCCCACCCGGTAGTTCATGGAGACCAGCACAGTGCCCTCGGCCTGTGCCAAGAAGCGGCCATCGTACACGTCCAGGGAGGACGCCCCACTGTAAAAGCCACCCCCATAGATCCAAACAAGGACAGGGGTGGGGGATGCAGGCTTGGGGTACGGTGTCCACACGTTGAGGTAGAGGCAGTCCTCACTCAGCTCACGGTTAGGGTTCCACATCTCGGAACCCTCAAAGCCAGGGTACACGGTGTCCACATATTGGTGGCAGACCTTCTGGAAGGCTGTGGCGTCCAGCACTCCTGACCAGGGCCGCTTGGGCTCTGGTGGCAGAAAGCGACGGGGGCCCACGGGGGGCTCTGCGAAGGGGATGCCCAGAAAAGCAGAGACAGGGCCACCAGGGGCCATGAGGCGGATGCCCCGAAGCCGGCCCCCACGCACAGTCACCAGTAGCTCTGGGTCCTGCCGGCTCTCAGCCCCTGCCCCTCCTCCAAGGAGAAAGAAGAGGAGGAGGAGGAGAGGGGAAGTCAGCGAGGGCATATGCAGGGAACACCACGGGGGCGGCATGGCTGCCAGGCCAGGCAGGTGTCTGTTGGGAGAGAAAAAGGCAGAGGGTGAAAGCCTGAGGCAGCCCAGAGGAAGATTAGGTAATCCTCTTGCCCAAGGGTTATCAGTGAGCAGCAGAGGAGGTGGGGCGGGTTAGCAGAGAGGAGGAGAGAAACGGAAGGAGGAAGGGAGACAGAGACAAGGACGCGGGCTGACCAAGCAAGAAGGCACAGAGACCAGCAGACACACACTCAGACAAACCTGGCCAAGACAGTTTCAGACAGACTAGCCAAGGGACCTCCCTCACCTTGCTCGGGGGAGGCCCTTTGCCCTCACCTCCTTCCCTGCTGGCGGCCTGGGCCGGGCCCAGTAGGCGCAGTGCGGGCACCCGAGGCCGCAGTCCACGCACAGGCCACACGGCAGGGGCGGGGCCCTCACTGATCCGC